TTTGGTCTATACAAATCCGTCCAGTTCCCTTTTTATCTCTCTTCCCCTAGCGTTTTGCACGTGGATTTAACCTCTTCCTGTATTTATAACTCTAGGTGATGGAATTTTTCTTACTCTTCAAAATATAGCAATCCGTTGGGAGAATAGCATCAGATCAATTACAGTAATTCGATGAACAAATAAGTCACTCTAATTACTTCGTCGCCACGGCAAGACAATGATACCATTTGCTGGGATAATCACACCGATACATACTGATGCTGACTGTTTCTTTTGTTCGTGTAGAGAAGCGATTTGTTGGTGAGTGTACAATTCATAGAAACCATTTGACTTTTCCTTCATTGTTACTACTACCTGAAATTGAACAGTTTCTGTCTCTCTTTCTCTCTCAAAGGTGTTCTTTTGACGCTATTTTTTGTTTGGGTTTACTCTGGGCCTTTATTTGCATATGTTCCGTTTGCCTTAGTAGATTTTTGCGACCTCTTTAACAGTCATTTCTAGCTCATTTCAAAGGCGCCATGCTAGCTTACCTTTTATTTGTACTCGAGTATCTTCCGCTGGAGAATAAATCGTCTCCATTGTTATTATTACCGTCCGTGGGATTATGAAGCGATATCTCCAGTAACGTTTTGCCACTATTTTTCTACTCCGTTGCAAATGAATATGGAAGAGTTGGGCCCCACAGCATCTCTGAGCCGTTTTGTTCGTGGCTCAAACCTTAGTCTTTGTACGTCCAAGTACAGTCTGCAAGGCATGAGGGATATTGTAGACAATATAGTGGCCTATTGTGCAGTCCATACGCCTCTTCCGGAAAAGAGTGTCTGCTAGATGGAGCATTCAAGCTAAAGGGGCTTATTTAGTGGTGAGGTGCAAGCGCCACGTTTCATTGCGGTTCATTGGTCTACGGGTGAGTGCGAGACAAGCAAAGTCTCACCGTGATCCGAGTACTGTCTCGGATAATTCGCGATCGATTATTTAGTGAGCCTAGGCTCATGTTTTGACGCTCAGTTCCAGTATTGTTTGGCGGTGAGATCCAGTAGACAGGAGCTCGGTAGAATACTGCTCTGCTTTGGGAACACTCAATAAGCGAACCGATGAAACTGATTACGCCATAAATGGGCTGAAAAAGAGAAGGAATATTGGAATATATGGAGATCGATAGCGTACTAATAGGTTAGATGCGATATATATATATATATATATATATATATATATATCAAATTAATCAGGGGGTTGTAAATGACCTTAAACGACGTTTCAACATCTACCGTATGCCCCATGTTGATAAGATGTTCCACATTTGAGCTATCAATGGCCTTCGATAGTCCTTTTCTCAGCCAGGTCGGGTGATTCTCTTGAGTCCGTTTAGTCAACTGCCGACTGGTACAACCGATATAGCCGGCTCCACAAGAGCAGATGAATTGATAGACACAGAAATGGTTGACAGTGTCAGTCGATCCTTGAGTCTCTGCTTTTTGTAAACGACGGTGCAAGTGAACTCTTCGAAAGATGACTCTCAAGAGCAATAAATTTTACTTTTTACGCCGCTGAACTGAAAATATTCGATCGATCTCATGATAGACATTGTTGACGAGAGAAAGTAAAGTGACTGCCTCAAATTGATTATATTGGTGTAACCATCGTTTCCACATTGCAAATTCTAGCCAGTGTCAATTAGAGGAGAAAGAAAACGGTAAATTTACTCGCTTGGATGGGATTACTAGGTCCGTCGATCTTTGAACAAGAAATTTCAACGAACGTAAAATAAACTATTTTGCTCGGGTAGTGGAGGATGTGTCAAATACACGCACACATGCGCACAGACACACCACATGCCTAGGAGATGGTATAGCCGTTTCAATTAATTTGCTCAAATTTATCAAATTTATCAGGCTTGTGGGGGCTTGAATCCAAATATCGCTCGGTCTGTCTGAATCAAGTCAGTTGATTCAATTCAGCTCCGCATGATACAGGAACTTCTCAGTGCATTGCTCTCCAGACGTTCAGTATATCATATGCAGTTCGGCTGCATCGGCCTTGTCAGAACATGTTTCATGGTTAGCACACGTTCGAATCTGACAGCACCACTAGCAACGATGGTAATATCGTTCAGAAAGTACCTAAAGACCAACAAAAGGTCGCGTTGTTGCGTTCAAATTTCGCCTACATGTTACGGTATTGTCAAAACAGAGGAACCTCCCACATCGCATAATAACGATTCATAACGCAGATCAATGAAACACAGGTTTCCCAATCGCCGTTATCCGACAAATTTCATGCAAGATTTGCACGCGATTATGGTAGCACGACTTACTTCGAGAATTAAGCAAAAAGGCAGACAGGTAGTTTCAAAGAGGAAAATAGTTTCCCAATATTCTTATACACACAATAATAACTTTTTTTGTTGAAATAATCGCAAACCGGTGCACTGTGTTCTCAGTTACTCATTTTCTAACATACTTATCCCTTCCATGGTACAACAATTTTTAATGTGAATAATCAATATTATCATAAGAGAAAACGTCCCAGATGTCACATCCTTATCATTGGGGTTATTTTTTATTGCTTATCAATTGCTAATCCAGTGCTTTAACTGACATCGATAAATGATATTCAGAAATTTCATAAAAAGCAAGAAAAAACATCATAACAGAACCAGTTGATTACCAGGTGTTTCACGTTATCTCCCCGGGCTTTATCTGTAACAATTGATATTAATGTTTGTTCGGAACACTGGTATACATTAAGAGACACCGCAAGTCAGGCAAAATCTGCCCTTTATAGGATGTAAACTGTAGCCAGAAATAAGGTTTCGAGAGGCTTGCGTTTTGGTGGAACCAATCCAGCAACAAAAGCCTTAATGAAATAAAACCATTCGATTGGGTTGGCGCGATTACATGAATGTATGAAATTTATTGAAAATGATAGAATCGCTTAAGGCGACTGTTGACTACACTCGCTACGATCGTACTACGTAGGGGGCAGAACATGTACAGGAATCAATTGGTTGAATAGTGTTAGATCACATCAGATCACCTGGGTGATAGTAGTTTGTGCACCAAGCAACACAGACACTTCTTTGCATCACATGATAAATTCCTCGTCGTGTATATGGCAAATGAAGAGTGAACTGAAAAGCTGGGAAGCACTGGACAGCTATTTCGACCTGGTTGGGTGTCGTCAGTAGTGCAATCCATCGACCCAACTGGGGCTTCAACCCGGGACCTCATAGACTTCATTTGCCGTATACACGAAGAATCTCCGCTTTTAAATTGAATCAAATCGTCCATTACTCGGATGAGAGAGGTGATCTCAATATTTCAAAAACAATCGCCCATTTTCACAACTGTAAGGCGATGGCTTTCATTGGCACGCCGAACTTTTGAACTTTGCACTGAACATACAATGGGGTAAATTCTGCACTGTCTGATTAGATTGGATCTTGTGACTACACTAAAATATGCATCAACCTTAGCGTTCTTATTTGTATACATTCAAAATAGTAGAGTTCTTTGTCACGAACTCCAATACCGCTGGATAACTTTCCCTATTTATTTGGATCATATGATAGCCCGTTAATTGACCGATTCCTTCCATTTGAAAATTATTTCTGCTATTACGAAGTTAATCGGAGGAAGGTGAGAAGGAGACCATGCGTCGTACCACATTTGACTCCTCTCCTTGTTTTACGCACACGCCAAAATGCCTACGAAAATCACTTTTGATGCTCAAAGCTCTCAAGGAAACATTCAGAGAACGTAATGTAACAAGTTCAACCGCTGTCTATGTTTCGTACATGCGGTAAATGCACTCTGTATTCTCTTCGGTTTAAGGACCGTTTTCCAACTTGGGACTTTCGTCAGTTTGACTGTTCAGTTTACCGCTATCTCTAAAAGTCACTTCAAGATAAGTGGTGTTGTTTGTACGACCCGGGCTATATGGTAACCGTAACAACGGTATTACGTAACTTAACGTTCTTGAACCCCGGAATCATCTGATTAGGAGTTCCCGGTTTTGCTTTGAACCTGAAATAGAGCAAACCAACCAGTGCTACGGACTGAGTAAGGGCGAGGCACACTTGGTACAAGGTCATGAGTGGAGTTTGGAGGGCGAGAATGCTAAAAATTGCGTGAAAGATGTTCGACGTCGTTCCCTGTCTGGATCCGCGTATACCGAGATGAACAACTACGATAGTTATCGAATAAGTGCGTTTGTGATACGGACGACGACTTCGCGAAGACGACACATGAACGTGCGTCAGTGCGAGCGTCTTGTTGGCCGACGAAGGGAGGGATGACAATAACACAGCATGTGCGTTTGTGTATTCGTGTATACTTGTGAGCATGTGTGTACGCTCATCCGCTCTCATCGTCGTGGTCTCGCTTGGTTTCACCGAGTGATGGACAGACAGGCCGTTTAAATGTAGACAGACAATCACAACCTTAGAGTGGACATGTGCACATGTGCGACAAGGCCTTGGACGCTCTTGGGTGCGTTCAAGCAAGGTTCGTCACTCGTTCGGACAGAACGCAAAACAGAGAGGAAGGGAGAGAGAGAGAGCAAGCTTCGGCTTGTAAGGTCTTGCCCAGTCAGGCATCGCCGTCTTGTTTGTGCCTTGAAACTAGTGCACACGAGCAGCTAGGTAGACTTGTGTGTGCGTACGTGTGTCTGAGAGCGACCGTTTGTGCATTGCTTTGTGCTAATGCACCGGTGCGGTCATACGACAAAGCGAAGCATCAGATACACATACACACACGATCACACGCGAACACGTCTGGCCTCACTGCGTTGTGGTACGTGTGCGCCCTGTGTCCTTTCAAAACTCACTTGGCTCAAACGAAAACTAACGCCCAGGCAGTCGCGGCAGGAAGTTTGGCGTTGGGACCGACGTGGATTTTTTCTTCCTCCGTTCTCGTTCGCCTGATCAGACCGACCATTTTGTGTGACTGAGCGGTGACCCCTAGTCCACCACCAGCACGGCACTAAACACCGCAGCAAACATGATGATGATGGCATTGGATAGTGGCCATTCACATACTGTGAACTCACATGACATAGTGAAATCAATGACCGCGAATACGGAACTGGGCCTGGGCGTCGCCAATGGTGGTGGTGGCTCGATCGAATCCGGCACTGCGATCATGACTGAACTCCGGCGCCCCAGCTCCCACCACAACCCGACTGCCCATTGTAGTGAATACAATTCGAACACATTTCCCGTCCTATCACCAGCATCATATCCTCTTGATCGACACTCCGCTCCAGCCTCTACGAATAAATCCCATTCACGACAACTTACTCCTAACGAAGCCCGAAGTGATAGCGCGTTGATCTGTAGTGGTAAGTATATTCGGACGAACGGCAACGGCTTTAGTGGTCTGTTTGCGAAACACGTCTTTTTAGGTGGGTAATTTTGCTAGCCTTGTAGGACTACAACTGAATATCCGTTTTCTAAAATTTCCGTGCATTGCAGTTTCGGTTTTTTGTTTTGAGTTAAAACTGGTGGTTGTTAATTTCTTAATAGTTTATTAATTTTAACTAGTGTGGAGCTATTTCCCGCATAATACGTTCGCACGGTTGAAGTTCACCTAGCCGTTCGATAGTATAATCTAATTTAATCAGCAGAAAATGCTTGGTCATTAGACCACAGGTATCCATGCCTATTACTGTATGTACGTTGGACTCTTTCCCAGATCGTGAGCCAATTTATCTTAGAGAATCCTTCAGAAGAGCAACATTTTGAGACCCTCGAAGACATTCCCACGAATTGATATTAGTGATGGTACCGTCACCTTCCTTCGAACTAGGGCCTTGTGTACATCAAGAATTTGACCTAGGTCACCGTAGTTCACCTCAATTTATTGAAGCAATGAAGCACATGAATTTTTTTACTCGTAGCGTCTGTAGAATTCAGCATCGCTGTGTGTCCTAAGCTGTCAGGATCCGGCTTGTGTTGTCCAGTGGAACTTTATTTTTTTATTTACATTTTAAAACCGAAGTAATATTGGCTTGTTTTCCTTCAAAACCATTTATTTGAAACTCGCGATAAACTAATACAGCGGAGGCTGACGTGTATAACGAG